AAATTCATACTATTTGCAAGCTATAGAATGATTAGATTTAAATATAACCACAAGCAAATCTGATAAATGGACATGTCATTAAATAGTAATAGAATAACTGTGTTGTTGAAATTAAAATAGCCAGGCATATTATTGGAGGAGTTTGATTTTATAGTTGCCGAGTTTTTTAAAGATATGACTAATAGACTAATCAGATGTTGGTAGAAATCATTTTGAATATTAGTATTAGTTTTTGAACCTTGAGTTGGCGATAATCTTCTTAAAAGCACAGCTCTTGGCCCTAAAGTTGGTGAAAACTGTTGTGAAGGTCCTAGAACTGATGATTTATTGCTAAATCATAGAGCTGGTAATTGTTGTCATGAAGGCATGATTAATGAAGATTAAGACAATTCACCAAGACTTGCAATTTCATTATCATCTAAAAGAGAGTTGTAAAAATAACACTATAACAAAATAAAAATAATAAGTTTACAAAGCAGTCATTACCTTGTAAATTATCGTCTTCTAAAAAGAGAATCATGAAAATATCACAATATAACAAAACTATAATGATAATTCACAAAAGTAGTTATTATCTTGTAAGTCATCTGAAATATTTAAAAGTTTATAAATTACTTGTGAAGATGAAAGCGTAATCGTTTTTTGTTTCTTATTGCAATCTTGCACATCTTCATTATTACCTAAAAAAGAAAATCATTGTATAAAACATCATATAAATAATTAATAAAGCCTAGAATAATATTTGCCTTGTAAATTGTCAACATCATTGATAAGTTTGTCAATTATCTGTGAAGACGAAGATGTAGCTGTTTTTTGCACCTTTTTCTACTTTGTTTATTTTTATTGATATCTAAAAAAAAAATTATGAAATATTATAATTAACAAAAATCAAAAAAGTAATATTTGCCTTGTAAATTGTTAGTATCATTTATAATTTTATTTATAACTTGTAGAGACAATGATGCAGTTGTTTTTTGCTTCTTTTTATAGCCTTGTTTTTTAGCAGTGTTTGAGTTATTTTGTGAATTATCAATGCTCAAAAGATTAATTTCCTTTTTTTTGCAGCCTCTTTTAGCAGTAGTGGATATTTTATCACTTGCAAGTTTTTTAGAACTTTTAGTATCCTGTTAAAGTAGTAAACTAAAAAAAAAATACTATTTATAATATACTATTGTTAAATATTAAAAGTTTATTATGTAGCTTCAATTTTAATAATTAGGTTATGATTAAATAATTTTAGAATTTTAGAGAATAGCTTTTTATTGAATTACAAATCAATTTCACTATGAAGAATTTGAGTCTTGAGACTCTATTAAAGTTACTGGTCAATTCTTTAAAAAATATCATAACAAAAAAAATATAGACTAGGTGCTGAAAAAAGAAATGAAATTGACAAAAAAAAAATTAGAAATAATTCAAACTTATAAATAAATCATAAAAAAATGCAAACTTTAAAAAGCTATACTGCAAATTTTTATTAATATAACTATATTCTAAATTGATTTATATTCTTTTTCTAGCACATATAAATTTAATTGAAGTTTTAATTTTATTTTTATATCCTTTTTTTCAAAAGAATTTGATGTTTTTCATATATACAAAATCACATTCTAAAATAGATCTAGCATTAGGATTTCATGCCAAAATTATAATAAATATATAACTTGTAACTAACAGTATTCCAAATTTCAAGACAGGAGAAGGGATTGTAAAATCACGTGATACCGTTGAATTTTGTATTTTATTAACAACAATAATTGCTCGATCTTATGCATCGATTTTATACATTATTATTTATTATATATTTGGCATTTATTGTCTTTTTGAGATATGACAATACAATCACAATTAATATATAAGTGCTCCAGGTATCAATTTGTTGCAGACCTAAACTATAAATCTATACCAACCTTGCAATTTTATGTATACTACACCTACTAAAGATTGGTGACAATAAGATGAAGTGAAGAGTTCTATTTATCTTTTTTTTTAAAGTATTTTTAATTATATTCAATTAATTTAAATATCAATATAGTATATGTATATATATATTATTAATCAATATGATGATATTCTGATTTGTAAGCTTGTAAGTAAATTATAAACTCAATTTATATATTTTCTGTGATTACATTTTTTACATTAAAATTTTCTTATTTATCTTATTTCTTTTACAATATTTCATAACTGTTATATTCCTTTTAACTCTCACCAGAATTATATAAGACATCTATCTTGTATATTTAACACACCTTTACTTGAAATAATGAATAAGAGAAGTACTAGAACTAATGTCACTAACAATGATCATGTTGAACAGGAGGCAAATAATGAGGATTTCAATTATGAAATTTTGAATAATAATTCTAGTAATATATTAGATAAAGACAATGTGTTGAGTGAGGCAGATTTGCTAAGCAAAAGTGATTTTTTGAGCTAAGACGATTTGTTGAGTAAAGACAATTTGTTGAGAAAAAACAATTTGTCCAGTGAAGATAATTTAATGAGTGAAAGTGATTTGTCGAGCGAAGATAATATATTGAATAAAGAAAATTTTAACAGAGAAATTGTTGATGAGCCTTTAAGTAGTGAAGAAATGCTATCTATTACTAGAGAATTTGTGTCATACTTAAGTAACATTGCAGAAGTATTAATGTTTTTCTGGATCCAAAAGCATAATATATGTAAGTTAAAATGATTTATAATAAATACTATATTTATTTGCTAATTTTTTTTTTATTTTTTAGCTACTCTTGCTTATAATAACTTAGTAGATATAATTTATTATTCTTAATTCAAAAGCGAAGATATTGTAAAGAACATTAGACGATTCAGAAAATATAGGCAAAGACTGTCTTTATTTAAAATTAAATCACATCAAATTCATATTTCTAATAAAAAAATACTATCTACATCAAAAGACACTAAAAATACATCTTGTTTGTTGATTTTTGATATTATCTGGTATACTCTTAACAACCTTTCATTATTCCGCATGATATACTTTGGTCTAGACCAAGAGGTCACAAGAAATTATGAATTTTGCCATAGTAATATTTGGAAGGAATCTTCAAGATTTGAACAAGAATCTGTGATTATAAATAAAGGTAATGATTTGCTTTTTATTTTATATATATATATATATATATATATATATATATATATTGTTATTTATTTTATTTATTATTTAATGTTATTAATATATTTATGATTGTCTAGTAAAATATTACACCAGGAATTTTGTAGTTTATCAAGAATCTACAAAAAGGATTTGGCTATATTTTATCAATAGTTCAAAAAGATGGCAGCTTTTATATTAATATCCAATGCATTCTAATATTTGAAGAGCTATCAAGAAATATACAGAGTAATGATTATAAAGAAAGATCAATAAGAGGTGAAGTATGAATATTAGATTAAGAGGTGAATAATACAATTATATTATATTTATAATCCTATATTATAATAATATAAATAATATTTTTTCAATCGCAATCTGTGAAATATTATATAAGTACAACAGTAAATAGAAATTAAGAAAAGTTGTTTATATTTACAAATATTTTTCAGAGTTTGCTATATTAAAAGAATCTACTGCAAGTCTTCCAGTTTATAAAATATATATAGATCTTTACTATGATAACTTCAGTACATTTTGCAATACTTATCACTTGTTGAGTGGTGTTTATATTCAAATTGGGAATATGTGTTTTGATTAAAGAAAACAGCTTAAGAACTATTTGTTTTTGGTTTTGTACCATTTAGTAGTTCTTTTAACGAATTTATTGGTCCTTTTGTTTTGAAAATAAAACTTTTAGAAAAGGAAAAAGTAATAGACATACAAGGCAATAAAAGCCTTGTATTTGCAAGCCTTGGAAATATAACTTCTAATTTGCCACAGGGCGGGCAATAATCTGGTGGGAGTTAAAAGATATAATGCTACAAGAGGTTGTCATACTTGTAATATAGCCAAAAATTTGTAGATATCTAATAATATTGATTTGTTTGTAAATTCTCTTATCACTATTTTACAAATGAACAATTTGAAGAGATTTCTTCAGTATTAACTATAACAGAACATAAAGAATTAGCTTCAAGTTATTGGTTGTGCTTGCATTTACCGATATTTAACCAACTACAATAGGAAAGTCATTTACAATTACTACATGATATGTATCATGCTACAGTTGGTAAAGTGTTGAGGCTTCTTAAAATAACACTTAATGCTTTTTCAACAAAGTGAAAATCAGCATTTATTTTAATTTGGAAGTTATTTGAATATCCAAGCAATTGGTCTTAGTTGCTAAATCTGATATCTTATATCAATAGCTTTATATGACCGACTGCTTAAGATTGGCAATAGTATTTCCCTTTATTATTAACAAACTATTAAATCTCAATATTTTAAGCACTCTGAGATTTACAAGCTGCAACAATGACTAAGCATTACATGCATAGATTTAGCCATAAAGGTTTGGTTAAAATGTTGGATAATAGTATTAAAAATGATGGTGGTCTCATTTAAGAAGTCTTTACAAAAGAGAATTATGATGAATTGCGAGAGTATCTGGATAGTAAAAGAAAAATATTAATACTGATATTAATCAATTCTAATTATGGTTTTTTTTTAAAAAAATTAATTATCTGATAAAATTTACCTTTGAATATTGCCTTGTTTTTCTGATTAATTAATATCTATTATATTAATATATATAGTCATTTGAAGACTTTAAAAATCTTTCAAATTTGTACATCAACTTTTACATAGTTCAGTATGCAAGGAATTACGCAAACTAAATATAGAAGTAAGAACAAAAAAAATGGTATATAGAATATTTAAGAATATTGTGCCACAAACCAATCAGAAAAACATAGATCTGGATTTTTTGAGGCATTATAATATATTGTTTGCAGTATACCATTTGTTAAATAGAGGTAGAAACATGTGTTTTCCCTCTTCAAACAATGTATTAATTGATCTTCTATAGCACTTATGGCCTTTAACAAATAACTAGTTTATCTTTGATGATTTTGAAGATAATATAGATGAAGGTCTGATTAGTAAATATAGCTATAAATTTTTTTTTAATATATATATATTTGTTAATTATTCACTAGATAAAATTTTATTAAGAAGAACTAGATTTTATATAACTCTTTCTATAAATCACTTACACAAAACAAACTCTAAAAAATCTCAACACAAAAATGAATATAACTTCTTGAACTATTACAGTATTAAGCAAACTTACTTTGGTGCTCTAAGTAAACTTGCTCTGCTATTTATTTTATATATATCATAGAAGTTTTAAAATATCAACTTGCAAACTCATTACATTAATTACAAAAACCTTTTAAAAACAACAAAATTTACAAATTTTAAGTTTTCTTAAAATTACATTAAGTCAACTACTTACACTCCTTAACAAAAACTTATTTAGCTCTTCTATATGAATACTCTGATATATAATATATTACAAATGAACTCAAACTTATCAAACTATAACAAAACTTTTTTATCTCTTCTCTTGCTATTTACGCTACATTATACTAAGTAAATCTTAGTTCTCACTTAAGACAAATTTGTTCTACTCAACAAGACGAACATTTTGATATATAATATGCTAGAAACAGACCAAAACTGACGATTCTACATCAAGAAAACTCCAAACTCTCTTGCCAAAAAACATACTTTTAGTTCTAAAAATTCATTGGCAATTTTCTGAAATCCTATTAGCTTGCCCTGGAAATTTCACTTTTAGATTAACTACCATATCCAGCCAGACCCTCCTGTCACATAGCCAACAACTCAGCCTACTGCAGCCTTTGTACTGTATACAGCTCTTGTATAAAAAAGCTCTTACAAACTTTAATTAACATAGCCGTACATAGTCTTTATATAGCCATATCTAACAACACAGCCTACTGCAGCCATTTTTTGGTATACAGCCTCCATATAGCCAACAACACAGCCTACTGCAGCTATTGTTTTATATACAGTCCTAGTACAAAAAAGCTTTTCCAATTTTGGTTTTATTAAACAAATCCTAATTTATATAACCGTACACAACCCAAATTGTTACACCAAGCTGCACTAGCCACACCAGCCACATTTAATACAATTTAAGATTACACATAGAGTTATACAAGCTGCACAAGCCACACCAGCCATAGTAGTCATGGTACAACCTTGAAATCTTGGCTTTAGCCTATTACTCTAGTTATAAGTATTTTATATCATTCTATATTCAAACTTCAATTACTAAAAATCTTACTACTCCTGTGACAAAAATATACATTATACTATAACTTCAGGAAAATACACTTTAAATTTACTTTAAAACAAACCAATTTTCAACAAATTCCTTTTTCTATATCTTAAATTTTACTTAACAAAAATCAACTATATTTTTATATTTTACTAAATTTTAACTACTTATTATTTACAATATGTCTCAACTGAACACTTCTCAATGCTGATTTCCCCATCATCAGCTCATTACTCACCAGCCTTCTAGCAGTAACTCCTGTAATACAAATTTAGACAAACCTCTTGATTGGTTTCAACACTTTCTAATTTCATCTGAAAGCGGTCTCTTT